CCCCCTCACCCCCCCCACGTTTGCCTGTAAGGTTTGGAGCCCCAGGATATTCTCCCTAATACAGAGTGGACCCTACGATTTCCTTTTTGTCTTTGACCCTGAACAGTGACTGGTTTATGCAGGTGTGTCTGTGTGTCTTTGTAGGCACCCACGGGGCACCAGGCGAGGGGATGAGCAGGATAGTTGCAAAAGAAAAAAAAAGGACCTTAGAGCACACCTCTACCGAGGAATTGGACATAGATCAAGAGCTCATTGTCACTTCATTTTAGATTTGCTCACTGTGGGAGTGGGGGTTGGGGGTTAGAGGGATGGGGTGGAGAGGGGGGCCATCGGGAGTGGGGACCCCTGCTGTGTTTGAATTGCCTGACACTTTTACCATTAACCACAGGCTTTATTTCATAGGGGACTGGAGTGTTTCATTGTAAGACATGGGTTTTGTGGAACTCTCCAGTCAGTTTTGCAATTGCTCGGATTCGACCTCGGGGGGGGAAAAGAAGAGACTCTTTTAAATGCTGCTTTCTGCTTGCACCGGGCATTTGGTATTTTGCATCTTCTGAGTTATTGACACCCAGAGCAACTGTGCCCGGTTAACCAAAATTCAGTGGGCTATTCAGAGCAGGGCTGGATTCTCAGAAGACCGACAACGCTGCACAATAGGGAGGGCAGTCATCCTTTGAAATGAATGAATTCCACAGAGCTGCCACTCTGCTAGGAAATATGCACAATCACCCAGCAGTGAGCGTTTTCACTCCTTTCGCTCAACTCGGGCACAGCATTTTCATATTTTTTCAAAGGCTGGAGGTGCTTTGAAGTGTGGGGACTCTGCCGCCCGAGTCTGCAGCAGCGTCTTGCTGTTATTTCTTTGTTTAAAAAGCAGAGGTGCCTCGGGCCCCTGCTCTTTCTTCCTGGGTTCGGATTCTTCGAGCCATATTTCACGTTGGGCTGACCTCACAGTGTCGTTTGCAGACTTGCTCTCTGGCCCCTCACTGTACTTCATCTGCTGGTTTTGTGTTGGCACAGATTGAAGCAGCCCCTCGCCAATGACTGTGTGGCTGCGAGTGGCTTTAAGTGCAGTATCATTGTTCTGCGTGACAGAGGTCATCCCTTTCAGACACAGCAGCCTCCGTGCCCCTGCCTTTTTACCAGGGATGATGGTGGCATCTATGCAAGCACAGTGGAGTGTGGGAGGTGCTTGGGAGCTCTCAGTGGTGTTTCAATGCGGCTCCCGTGAGCTCCCCTCAGATGTGTACTGTGGGCGCTTAGCTTACTGCAAGGCTGAGTGAAACCTATGCATCGATGACTTAAAATCTCGAGTTCTTGTCTCCTAGCCCTGTGTTGATCCAAGAAACAATATTTGCAAAAACAGATCAAATGGAAAGATGCCACTGATTGCAGAGGACTGTATAGAGAATTCTATGGGACATTATGGGGGTGGGG